CCCCCCTTTGGGGGGGGGGGGGGGGGGAAAAGAAAATTTCCCCCCCCCTCTTTTGGGCCCCAAAAAACCCCCCCCCCCCCCCGGCTTTTTTAAAAAAGAAACCCTTCCCTCTTCTCCCCTCCCCCCCTCCCCCCCCCCCCCCCCCCCCCCCTCCCCCTCCCCCCCCCCCCCCCCCCCCCCCCCCCCCCCTCCCACCTTTTCCCCTCCACCTCCCTCGCTTCCATTTAACTCATCTACATCCTTTTCATCTCCCCATTCCTCATTCTTCTCACATGAAACGACGAGAAGCACGCGCCGTGCTTGGAGGTCGCGATCTTAGATCGACATCTCTTTCTTGCCTTCTTCGACGTCGGGATATAATCGCACTGGCAGCTCGATCAGCAGAGGGCGAAGAAGCAGACGAAGGAGAACAGATGAGGAAAGGATGATGATATTGTAGTTGATGATGATGGTGGTGACGATGATGGTGACGATGATGATGGTGATGGTGATGATGATGATGATGAGGAGGAGGAGGAGGAGAAGAGACGAAAGCAAGGAGGAAGAAAGATGAGCACTGAATAGCATGCTCTAAGGGGCAGACCTGAACGCAGGCGCCTTCCATGCTCTGACAGACCAGACATTTCATGTTGAAACGTGCGATAGGTACCTGGAGTAGACTCAGTGAAGGAAGGGAGGAGGAGAGGAGAGCAGATGAGATCAAAGGGTGAGACAAGACAGGGAGTGAGGACAGGAGCAAAACGGAAAAGACAACGATGAGAGCGCGGAGATAGAGCGAGAAGAAAGAGAATAGGAGAGGAGGAGGAGGAGGAGGAGGAGGAGGAGGAGGAGGAGGAGGAGGAGGAGGAGGAGGAGGAGGAGGAGTGGTAGGAGGAGGGTTAAAAACCAAGGAGTAGGAGGAGTGAAGCAGAACTTTCTCGTTACCTCCTGGAGGCCTGTGATCGGCTCTTGACGCACACAGTCACCTGCTGTCGTCTCGGGGACGAAATGCATGCAGGCAACGTGAGCCCAGCGACCTGCTCGAGTTCAGTTGGAGGGAGGAGGGAGGAAAGGAGGAGGGAGGAGGGAGGAAAGGAGGAGGGAGGAGGGAGGGATTGTGGAAGAAGGAGGAGACAGGAGGAGGAAACGGTGGAGGAAAAGGGAGGAGCGTTCAGTGAGGAGGATAGGAGAGGAGGGTGGGAGTTCACACACCATCATCGGTGGGTTTCATCGGGCCATGTCGGACAGGGCAGAGGATGCAGCTGATGCCTTCAAGTCCTCGCTTACATGCCTGCATGCCCATGTCAAGAAGAGATGCTGGGAGCAGCAGGAGAGGAGGTGAGGGGATGGAGCGGGAGAAGAGAGGGGAAGGAGGGAGCGGGAAGGAGGGAGCGGGAGAAGAGAGGGAGGAATGGATAGTAGGAACACTGCGGAGCAGGGGAGAGCGAAGAGGAGGTGGGAGGATGAAGGAGCGAAGAACAAGATGAATGAAAGGAGTTGATAGAGAGGAGACAGAGGAGGAAGGAGTAATTGCCTCGCAGAACCAGTCGCCTTCAGGAAGCCCATCGACTAAATCCCCCCCATAGCAGCATTGATGCACACAAATCTTGCATCTGACAGAAAGTCTTCAGCTCCTCCTCTTGTTTCTCCTCTTGTTTCTCCTCGTCCTCTTCATCGTCATCGTCCTCACCACCACCACCACCAACAACAACCTCCTCCTCAGGTGCACATTCTCCTCCAGTAACCTCCTCCTCGTCTCTCACCCTTCACAGTAAACCATCTCGTTCCCATCCTCTGCCACGTCCTCCATGCAGATCTACAGCGAAAGTCAGCCAGCCACCGTCTGTCTCCCGATACACTTCCTCCAGTCCCTCCCTTCCATCCCTCGCTCCTTCCTTCACCTCCTCCACCTTCGTCCTCTCCTCACTTCCACCTTCCCATCCCCCCCCTGTTCTCCAAAAGTCTCCTCACCTCACAAAGCTCGTTCCCCTCCTCATCGAGAGATTGTTTGAGGATGAACTCGAAGTTGGGGGCAGCTGCATCAGCGTCACTGACGCGGAGGAGACGCTTGCTTGTTACCCCTCGCGCTCTCCTTCTCTTCCTCTGCCTGCAAATCATTCTCCTCCTGAGCAGGAAGGAGGTAATCAGTAAAGACAGGCAAAGTAGTTTCAGCAGCTCACAATTTTCTGTAAGCCTGCTGCCTCCTCCTTTACATCCTCCTTTACACTCTCCTCCTCCTTCTCCTACATGGGCGGTATGTTATGAGAGACTTTTCAGCACAAGTTCTTGCCTTCTTCAAGTTCTTCAGTCTACAAACTTGACAAAGATTTTGCTTGTCCAGCAGACTATGACTCGAGAATCGTCTTGCACAGACAGATCAATCCCACAGAGACGACAAGAGAAGAGATGAGAAGATGGGAGAGAAGACGAGAGAAGAGTCTCAGATTACACAGACAAGCTGAAGGAACAACAACAAAGCAAAGACTTCATCCTTGCAACCGTGTTGCTCTCGATTACCTGCACATCGAGCATCTCGGCTGATCCCCACCCTGCGGAGCGTGTCCCTGCCGTTGAAGCAGTCACACCATCCCATCAGCTGCCTCACTGCTCACCACACTCTCAGTTCCTTGCTTGTCCTCAACGTATCTTCTCACGCTTCAGTGTCTGCCAGATCGGCTCGAAACCTCACAAGCACACCTGTGTCTCGCCAGCCGCATGGCATCCCATAGCGAAGCTAGAACAAGGAGATCATGCAAACATCGCAGACTTCATCTTCATCACCAGCAACTTCAAACTCATCTTGCACGGTTCCTTCAACCTCTATCAAACAAACCTGCATTCAGACACTTCTCATAGTTACCTTGCGATCCTTCTTCCTTCTTCGACCTCCTCCTCCTCACCCTCCGCTTCTTCCCTTCGTCCTCCCCATAGCTCTGGTTGAGGATCCTTCCTTGGGATTTCAGTGTGATGTACAAGATCCGAGCTCACCAACCTCTCGAACACGTCATGAGATATTGACTCGCCATGTTTGACGATCTTGAGTGCAATCATCTTGGACTCTGCGACGCGCTGAGATCAGTGCCCTTCCTCCTCGCATTCACCTATCACCTTTATGACCTTTCTTCTTGTTTGACCCCTTCAGTCTTCCCTCCTCCTCGCTATCATGAGAGCGATCGTCCATTCCCACCTGCTCCTCCTCCTCGCCCCCATCATGTTCTTCTCCTACCTCAGGCTTCTTTTGCTTCTGGAATGTGTCATCGTTTGTGAGGTCTGTACTTGCGTCTCCGAAGCTCGTTCCCTCCTCCGATCCCATCGCACTACCTGCAGGAGCATGCTTGAGCGAATCTCTCGGCACACATTTTCGTGCTTCCATTGTTCTACAATCCTTGCCTCTGATGTTCTTCGCTGCAATCTACACACTTCTCTTCTATCGCTCTCCATGGTCTCTTTCCCGCTTCGGAATGCATTGAGCTCACTATCTCTGTCCTTCTTTCCTCCTGTCATCCTCTGCTCCTCTGCTCCTCTCGTCCTCTCCTTCCCCCTCTTCCCTTCTGCCATGTCGACTCGCATCTTGGGATCCGTGAAGGTTCAGGGTAGTTGGGTAAAGTTTTTACTCGGGGCGGGCTTGCATGGTCTACCTCCACCACCACCCTGTGATACCACCCCGACGATTTGATATATCACGGGTACCCTATTGAGATCTACCGGTCATATTGATTTTCCTTAAATTTAACCCCCTTTTTCCCAGGACATTCTGCATCAATGGGTAGGTATTGAAATCAAGTACCCACCCCAATGTTTTTACTACCCCTGGTGATGGACCACCCACCAGTCATGGGAGTTAGTGTTCGCGACTCCTCAGTGAAAAAATGCATTTCGGAGAGAAAGCGAGAGAAAATGAGAGCAGAGAATGGCATGGCATGGCAGGGCAGGGCATGGCAGATGACAGAATATGAACTGAGAAGGCAAAGAGGATCAGAAAGTGGAATTTTCAGTGAAAGAATGAGAGAACTCAACGGGCGGGGAAAGAAAACAGTGGAACCAGGAAGAAGATAACCAACAAGGAATATGAAGTCCGGGAGGGGGGGTGATAGGAGAAAGTATCTGATATGGAGGATGAGAGACTAGATCGATGTGAAGTTGCTAGAAAATTGTGCTAGAGGGCGATAAGCCTGATATCAACATCGATATATGGAGCCGGAGGATTGGAGAGAGGCAGTATTATCAAGAAGAACAGCGTTATATTTTAGTGCTAATGCTGGGAGCAGCCACGAACCGGAGACCATGGAGTCGATCTCTTCAGGCTTCAGCGATGCTGGAGGTACTTGATATTGAAGTCCTGAACCGCACAAACAAGTTGTTGACTTGACTTGAACAGATTCAGAGTCAAGAATCAAACAGGTTTCACCCGTTCTGATTGTCCTTGTAATGTTCTCATGTTGATCTTTTCACTACCAGTTGAAGCGCCTGCAAAGACGTTCGAACATGCTGGTGATTGCATTCCCTCCATCGCCAGGTGTCACTTACTTGTATTGCCCCGTCTTTTCCAGAGCTCCGTACCTATCTCTACCATCGAAGACAACTTGTCAAGCATTGCATACACGGGATTAAACGACTACGCGTTCGTAGGTGAGACGGCAACACTAAGGGATTTTGTCTTTGGTGGCTTTGATCATTTCCCTTCAGAACGGTCGAATCCTTCAGCGGATCTGACACAAGAGGTTCTACCACAAGCTTGTTTCACCTCATTTCTGACAAGCTTCTTGCAGTTGTCTGCGATCGTTCGCTACGTGCGTTCTGGAGATGTCGCACCCGATGACTATGTCAATCAAAACTCGTTCGAGAATCGTGGAGCTGAGGGGCAGGCAAGCATCCACCAATTAATCTTCTTGTGCGATCTAATCTATTCGTGCAGGTGCTGGATCAGCTCTTGAAGGAGGTGCGCGCGCTGAAGGAGAGAGACGTGTCTTCAGCTACCGTCCTGCGCATGGCGAAGCAGAATCTCGATGAGAAGAAGGAGAAGATCGCAGCGTTGCAGGAGAGGCTGCTGGAGGTCACGACAGCCCTGGAACAAGTAAAGGAAAAAGAGTACACGGGGGTGAAGGAGAGGGGGAATGCAAGGGAGCAAGTCTTGCCTGGCGAGCAAAAGGAGATGGCCATGGCGAGCAACGTGGGGCAAGAGAGCGAGATGAGCAAGCTGAAACATCAGGACGAGCTGGCTGAGCAAAGGAGGAAACACACAGAAGCGATCAACGCGATGAAGAAAGACTACGAGGAGAGGCTGCAGGCTGCTGATCGTTACGCCAAGGACGCTATCGACTCGCTGAATGCCGTCATCGCGATGAAGGATGAAGAGCTTCAGGGGATCAGAGGAGGAGACGATGAGGGTGAGCGCCTGAGACAGGAGTTGGCAGAGAAGGAAGAGGCGATCGTGAAGCTGCAAGAGATTGTCGCGTCCGAGATTGCTGAGCGAGAAGCAATGAACCAGGAGCTTGATTCTGCAAGGAAGCAGATCAAGGACCTCCAAGTCCTGCTGAAACAGAAGAGCGATCAGATGGCTGAGCTCAACAAGAAGGAGGACCTCAGCAGGCAGGTCAAGGAGCAGAGTGGAGCGGTCGACAATCTCTTGGTACAGCTGCAGAAGCAACAAGAAGTTATCGAGGAGATGAAGCAACAGCTGCAGGAGAGTGAGCAGCAGGCAGAAGAGCTGGCCCAGTGCAAGACTGTGATCGAGCAGCTCGAGAAGCACAAGAGCGAGGTCGATGGATTCCTGGACACTGTGGTGGAGGAGCGAAGGCACAGGGACATGGTGGTGGAGGAGCTGAAGAAGCTGAGGATCATGGTGCAGCAGAAGGACGCACTCATCGAAGAGCTGAACCTTCAGCTGCATAACAGCAGGACGGCTCAGGATGCGAGCGGAACCACCTTGTTCAAGATGCAGCAGATGAGCCGCGATATCGACGACCTTCGCTATGCCGTGCAGGAGCGAGACTCGATGATCGCAGAGCTAAACGCCAGGATGCAGATCACTGGAGGAGGCAGCCTGTCCAGGATCTCCAACATCTCCGAGAGGGAAGCCGTCCTGCTTGAGCAGACAGAGCAGCTGCGCAGGGTCTGCTCGCAGCAGGCGGACATGCAGCGGCAGCTCGAGCACCTCAAGAACTCGATGGTAGACCAGCAGAGCTACATCTCCCAGCAGTTCGACGAGCACAGGAAGTCTCGCTCGCTCGACATGCAGCTCTCCGCTCAGTCGCAGCAGCTGGCGGCGATCCAGCAGGGCCTGAACTCGCTGGGTCACGCGTCTAACGGGGGAGGAGGTGCCCACTTGGAGGAGCTCTCCAGACTCCAGCTTGGCAACCACGAAACCCCAGCTCAGCCTAGCAGCTCCAAGGACATGTTCAAGAACCACGGCTCTAGTGTAGAGGTCGATCGGATCTCTGGGGGAATCCTAACTGTCCCCAGCCCGTCGGAATACAGTCAGTCAATGGGTGTGCACGCGGCTGAGATGAAGGCACTGAAGGCAAGTACCCCCACTCCTGTGCTCTTCGTCTCTGACAGACCTCTTCTACTCCAGGCAAGCAAGGTCGCCAAGGCTGCTGCTGCCGCTGCGGCAGTCTCGAGGTAACGAAGGACTTCTGGAAACTCAAAAGTTTCTCATCCTCTTTTGCGACAGGAAACACGCGGGGAAAGTGAACCTGATCCCAACGGAGGTGACCATGTAACGAGTCCTTGCGCCATCTCTGCCTGTATAAACTGGAGCTACGTCACTTACTTTCTACTAGTGAGCCTTTCTGTCGGGTGTCCGCCGGCTCGAACACGCCTTGGTTGTTTTATCATACCTCATTCACACTCAAAGTCAAGTTCAACGGTTCACAACTGAACCGTCGAATCATTATGAGTCCTCGAGCCTCAAACTTACTATCAGCATCGGACGGGCCGGCCCGTGAGCGGCATCGGTCTATGCTCAGGTTGGGCAGTCTGACCGTGTAGGAGCAATGCACTGCCTGATCAAATGTCTTAACTATTCTACAGCATGATAAGTTGAGGACAATACTGATTGTAATTCAAATGTAGATAACAAGGCAGTATTAGGAATGCTGAAGGCAAGATATATGGATTGTCAAGAAATTGAATATTCGAACAACAGAACGCGGAAAGACATATATATAATGCCTGACCTCTAGCAGCTACGGGACAACATGCAGTTGAGCGAGGTTGCAACAAGGATCCGTGCTTGTGACTGTAAAATAGTAGGTCAGGGATGGCTGACGAGGCAAGAATGACTGGGTAAATTTTCGATTACGTCTGTTTGGACCAGCTGTGATGACACATCTGTAGCGGAACGACTCCAAATGCTGACGTATCAGGTCATGAAGCTGACTGAGCGGATCACGTAACTAAGATGTGCTCATCTGGCGAAGAAGGCGAGACGATACTACTCGGCAGACCATGACGGAATCCCATGGTGACGGACTTGAAGCGTACCGCAGGATGGATGAGCCTGGCAACGAACTTCCGTTGCATGCGCACGAGAAAGTCTGGAGGACGTTCTCTGTGTGCAAGAGACATGAGCTTGCTGCTTTGTGGAACTCCATGCTGTTGATCCGCAGACGAATCCGGCGCCTCGAAGGAGACTGGGACAGAAGCGATTTTACCATCGATGATTGATCATCAATAGCACAATCGATGGAAATACTGTACATTTTCCCCTTATTCTTCTGGACTATCTCCTCTTGGTCGTTGTAATGAAATCGTAAAATCGAATCCTGCGCTCCCCGACTACCTCTGCTCTCGATCAAACATATCCTACACGCAGCACAAGTGTCTGTCCCCTGGCGGTAGAACGTAAACGCGCGAGGGTGGGCGTGACTGCTACAGCCAAACGTTCCTCAAAGTTGAGTCGATCGCTAAGCGCTGACTCGAAGAGAGGCGCCTCTTGATACTTCCGGGTTGGGAACTCCGGTACCTGCCCCTCTTGATTATTGGCCTGATCAGTTGTAGCAAGTGATTATAACCTACCAACCTGTACGCGCGACACGATCTTCAGAGGCTTTGTCACGTTGATAGCGGTAGAGAAGAAGAAGATCTTGAGCTCAAGTACTTCGTCCTCGAGGGGAGGAGCGTCGGACGATAACCCACCCTCCCCTGCCCAAAGGATGTCCATTGCCCTCTCGGACGGAGCCGAGGTCTGCTGCTTCCGGTCGTAGAGCGACATGCTCAAGGCCGTGGCGAGGGGCGGGGTGTGTGCGTTAGGGGAGCGGCCCAATCGGATGCTTCTAGAACTGCCACAGCGAGAGGGCAAGGTCTGCTGGACAGAATGTAGTTGTGAATATCTACAACGTCTCGGGAGAGGTAAATGCAGGCATGTCTGCCGACACATGCTGCATGACGATGCTACGAGACTTGGTACTCGCTGGCAGAGGGATGCTGAACTGGTTCGAGTAGGAAAAGATAGCAGCCAAGCGGGAGGCTGCTTCTCCTGCGCGGCCAATACGTTGACTTGATTCAGCGTTATCTTGACGAGTTTTTCCTACATCACAATCTGAACATACAAGAACAGAACAGAGTCAACATTGGTTGCAGCAGCAGAAGAAAAATATGTACGATCGCGGCACTTTGCTCACTCATACAAGAATGATATATCGTTACTTTTCACCAAAGCTAAATGTTATGCTGAGCAAGAGGAACAGGTAAGATTGAAGAGATCAACTGAAGCTTCTTGCATGAAGAATCGTTATATATAATTTCTGATCAGTCCATCGTATTGAAAACCATGCCCATGTCACTTTCCTTTTCACCTTCCATACTCTTCTTTAGTTCTTGGATATAAACTTTCTCGGAATCTTTTGCAGTCTTTCCTTCCCGATTCTCAAGTACAAAAAGGGCGGTTTCCATATTTTCAGCACCATCTCGATCCTGACACGTCTCCCTAACTTTCGAGAGTGCCATGTACAAGTGAAATACTCCAGCACTGGTGTTGGTGTGATAAGCTTGAATAATATTTGCCATCTCGTCTGCATCGCGTGCATTTGCTGCACCTGCAGCACGCGCACAGTGAGGAAATTGCCCCAACAGCCAGCGGTTGACAAGGCCTTCCTTTGTGAAACCTACGTATACACTTAATGGAGGTCTTTCCGGATCTGATTCCCTCCTCCTATGGTGGAGTAATGTAGCATTGGACATGACGAAAAGGTAAACCAATTCCTTATCTAAACCTTCGACAGGTTGGTTCAGTCGATTCACCTTACTCATATCCAGTTTCTTAGAGAAAGTTTCAATGTATGTAGCAAGGGACATAATTCGTATTCCTTGCTGTGCGCTGTTGCCCGGTACTCTAATATCTCCGAATCTTCCTTTCTGAATCCATTCAGGGATTTTGTCAATGTCTGCTCCTACTTTGAGGTACCTCGATTTGTTGAGCTTCAGATGATGCCATACAGTTTTCACTATTCTGCGTGTACGGGAAGTTTTTATCTGAACACAAATATTCGGGAAAAAGTCTTCTGGTTTGTATTCCGCATTGATACTGGGCCCACGTGTTCGCAAGATTTCATATGCTATCATACCTTTCAGCTCAATCCGCCTCGGTTTTGCATCAAGCGCTGATTTAGCTTTCTCCTCCCCTTGGCAAGGTTCGAACTCGATTTGATCAGCATAGAGATGAAATACGACAGCAATGTAGTCAGGCACCTTACTGTCTACCCAATGAATGCAGTGAGGATTGCAGAACTTTGGCAGTTTTTCACTGAGCCGCCAATTCCAGGTATTGTTTCGCACCCTTCGCATTGTGACCATCGGATTTCCACGGCCCTTTTTGATAACCCTTCGAATTCGTTTCCTCATAAAAGACAACAGATCTGTATCCAATGAGGAAAATAGACCCACCACTTTCTCCAAAATTTGCTTCAGGTCGTCATGGTATTGTTGAGTCCTATACTGTTCGAGGACTTCATTGAATCTTGTATTCAACGACGGCAAGAGCATCTTTTTTTTTGTAATATTTTGCAGTTTTTTACGATCATTTACATACCCGAGAATGCAGTCAAACACTTGCTTATGAATTGTTTTTTCGAAGCACTGAAACCAATCAGGACCACGATGTTCGATCAACCCATACATCGCCTTTCTATTTGTAAACGTTTCAAAGGTCGTTAAGTCTAATGAAATGTTTGTTGACTCGGAGGAAATGAAGGCGTGTCTTATCTTCTGAGAAAAACTGTCAACTATTTGAGCTCTGCAATGCTGTTTCTTTTCCTCGAGGCTCAGCTCTGTTGATGTAGTCACTTCTAGTTGAACGAGCAAGGCATTCATGCTCTCAGATGAATGAGAATTAATGCTCACTGCTAGTCCATCAAGGATCTCCAACAACTCCTTCATCTTCTGCTGGGCTTCTGCCCAGAGTTCGATGGCGCGGTCAGACTCGCATTTTACCATAGCGCGCTGATCCCAGCTGATCACCTCTCTAAAAAGGCGATGTCCCAACTATTTGCAACAAGATTTGCTCATATTTGGATGTTAGCGTAATGGTGGTATAGGATTCAGTTGCTGCCTTCTTTTATTTACTATATCTACTTCTGAGGCGACTTTGTTTCTCGGTAATTCCTCCATGTTAAAACAATTTTTTAATATAACTCAACAAACATATGCCCCGCCCAGCAACTGGGTCGAGTTGGCTTTTACTCAAAGTTAAGTTAAAAAGCAGTACGAGGCTTTTTTTTTTCCGAGGCTAGTGCGTTGCCCGGGCCCCCGGCGGCCCGGGCAACGGTTTTGGCCTGATATGCGACCCTAATTTTCTCCAAATATTAGGGGTGGAATTAACAAGTTCGCAAGGATCCTATCGAGCTACCGCCAACCATGGCAATTCAGAGGGCGGAAGGCTGGCTCCGTCGCACGATGCTGGCGACTCTCATGATGACGATGTGGAAATGCGATGGGTTCGTCATGCGGTCGCTTCCATTAGCAAGGACAGGGGCCAGAGGAGGTCAAGTTCCGACAGGAATCGACTCTGAGAGGAAAGGATACACCCGTCAATGGAGCCCTTGCATGACCATGCAGGCTGAGAAGAGCAGGAGAGCTGCTCTGATTGAGATAGCCAAAGTCGCTTTGCTGGTTCCCAGCCTAGCACTTGCTGATGATGACGTGAAGAGGGGCAGTCAACGCGGAGTCTTCATCACAGAGCAGGATTTTCCGTACCTCAAAGGAAGGTACACGTTTCTTCCATGCACTGCCTCACATGATAGCTGGCACTCATTGTTTTCATCTAGATACCCACCAAGGAGGCTTGACTTAGGAAGCGCTCCTCAACAGAGCAAGGACAAGCTTGTCTTCAACGCATTCGGTGAATGTGTCAATGTCAGTATCCTTAATGCCCTCTGGCCCTTTGCACTCTGATACCTGGCAGGACTCCTGCCAGTATGTTCCTATCAAGCAGAGGTACGACGGGTACAAGAAATACAAGGCTTCCATCAATCTGTGCTCTGATTTGCTGCGAACACTTCACGACACGTTGGGCAACCCCATGTCGGACGAGGACAAGAAGAAGTCCGAGAAGCTGCTGAGGCGAGCAGTCCTGTTCGCAGACGCCCTGCTCATCAGTGAGAACTACGGGACAAGCAACGAGGCGCTAGTGTCCAGATTCTACGTGAATGAGGCATACTACGCTTCGTTGCAGCTAGCTGAGGCTTCCAAGAAAGGAGACGCAGCGAGGTCTAAGGAGATGTGGGAGCTGTGGAGGGACAGCTGGAACTCTTATCTCATCATCATCAATCGTGCCATCGTCCCAAAAGTTGGAGAGAAGTTCGAACTGATCAAGGATATTTGATAATTGATTTCTTCAATTCTTCTGGTGTTTGTACAATCCCCTCCTTCATTTACAAGTTGTGCTTTCCAGCTTAGGACGCTAGTCATTCTCCCTCTGATGAAAGATTTTGTTAAAGACATCCAAGAGCAAGAAACACGGATGTAGACCTCCATTTGGTTGAGTTTGTTCTTCAGCGCAGCAATCATCGCGTTCGGAGACACTTCACTCCTCTTCTCCGTCTTCGCACCTGATCTACCCAACAGGGCACCCTTTGCAACCCCCCCCTGCTGAACAAATTAGAACTGATGAGCCTTCAAACCAATCCTGGAACTGCTCAAAAGTTACCTCATTCTTATTCTGTGAGTGATCCTGAGCTCGTTCCACGATGATTTTTCTTCCATGCAGCTCCTGTTCATGCTCGTCATCAATCTTCGTTCAACACCAGAGACTTGAGGTCACCTTGCCATTCATCCTTGCGATGGCCTTCTCAGCACCCTCGGCCGACTCAAATTCCAGGAAGCATATGCCTCTGAGTGGGTTCAGAACAACTTTCTTTGATCAAATCCAACGCACCGCGGTTGCCCCCTCCTAGGCCCAGAGGTGAACCAGAGATAGTCACATCGCTTCAGCTTCCCGAACTGCTGAAAGAGCTTCACAATCGCTCCTTCGTTGAGGCGAGGGTCCATGTTCCCCACATACACTCTGCACTCCGCGTTTCCGGGGCTTCTCATTCGGAAGTTGGTTCCTATGAGTCCCCGGACAGGCACTGTTTTGATTCAAGTTATCAGATAATTCCAGGAAAGTTCCAGGCTTAACGCACCTTTTCCATTCATTGGTTGCTGAAAACTTGAATTCATCGTAACCTTAGCCGGCCGAAGAGTTCTGCAGAATGGGGTCTTTTCCTCTTGTTTCTAAGGGAATCCACATCAGCATGTACTTTGAGAGACTAAAACACAGCGGGAGATTTCTCTCCCTTTCGCTATAATTTTCTCACTTTCCTAACTTGAATGTCTACACGTTGGTAACCTTCTGTTTCGCCTCCTTACCCTCCTCTTCCCTGCCACTTACTCCTTCAAACATCTTCAATCTCTTCCTGCTATCAATCGTCAATCTTTGTGCTGCTAACGTTGATTCCTCAACTCTCCTTTCATTCCCTCCTTACACACCCTCCGCTTCTGGTCCTCAGCGCTCGCTACTAGCAGTTCCCAGCATGACCTCGCTTTTCCAACAGCTTCGATAGGAACCGTTACAGTACAACCACCATCGTAACGTTCTGTAGATTCCTAATGTTCCCACCCCACCCTCAATCTCTCACATAGACTACAATATGACCCCCTTTTTAAAGAAATTTTCCTATAGTCAGAACGGTAAGGGTACCACCCTATCGATTACCAACCCCTTTGTTTCAAATCCACGAACTTGATCTATACCTACCCACCTCGAACCCCCACCCCAATATATCGGATATTCACAATATGTACCCCTTTGATGATCTCAAGAAGTACTAAAATTGATACCACCCTACCCATCACCAATACCCCAAGATCAAAAATAACCCCAAAATATGAGTACCCCACCCATACAAACAAGCTTAATCCAAAGGTTTCCCGCCAGACCGCCTTTCCTCTCTCTGCTCCTACCTAGCGCTTCCTCCCTCTCGTAAACTTTCAGGGTCTCTTCTCTCCATATTTATCTCTTTCCCCTTTCGCTACATTTCCCTCCAGGTTCTCTACACGCAGTGGACCCCTCTTCAAAGTGACCTGCTAGGGAAAACCTCCTGACTCGCTCCTTCATGGCTTCCTGTACGTTTACGAGGCAAGTCTCTCACTTTGGGATGCGGTCCAACCCATCCAGCCAAAACTCCAGAGAGGCTTCTCCTGTTCCAGATCATGAGAAATCCGTCGGATCTCCCTTGCGCAAACGGCAAACAGCCACGAAATACTCGATTGCCAAGGAGACGGACACTGATGATGAGAAGGAGAACGTCCCGAACAGCGACCCCGACTCTCAAGAATCCTTCAGCTCCTCCAGGCAGAACAAGGGCATGGACAAGAATTATACGAGCACCATCTCAAACGAGAACGAGGGAAAGGACAACGAGAACGTGTCTGATTCCGAGAACGAAAGAGACCTCACTGCCTCCAAGGCTCCAGAAGATGAGATCAATGGTGAAGCAGACAAAGACACATCCATTGTTGAAGAAACTCCCCCCAAGGCTTCGAACAAAGTCTCGCCCGCGAAAGATTTTGAAGATACTGTGCCTCTGAATGTAGCTTTCATTTGCTTTGTAACGTATGCAAACTAACCCTTAGTCTCTTGCGACAGGTTGGTGAGGTTCCTTTTCTACCGGGAAACTTTTCTGCTCTCGAACCATCCTCAGACTGGACATCAGATGTTCCGAGTATCACCAACATCATGAACAGAGTGCAGGGCATCAATGAAACGGCCCAAGAGATTGGCGTACGCAGCTTGAAGTTGCAGAGTGAGGTGAGATTTTGTTTCGACTGATTGAAATGCAATGAATCTGACAGTATTGTGTAGATCAATACCGTGAAGAAAATAGTTAGCAGCCGCGCTGAGATCGATTCTGAGCATGAAAAACTTATGAAGGCAAGGGAGGCTGAGCTATCAGATGTATGTCACCTATCAGATCTAAACAAAAAGCATTGACCGTTTTGTTGTCAGCTTCACAAGTGCAAATCTGACTACGAGGTCGCCGCTGCGAATCTGAAAAGAGCTCAAGAAAAATTTGATGAAGGAGAAATGTTGCGCTCGGTTCGTTCAGAACGGATTGAAAATGATGCGCAAAGTGACAAACATGGCAGGCAACGAAGTTCCGGAAGGAACAAATGGATTCCACGATTGCTGATGCACGAGCTCGTGTAAGCGAGTCTTTGAAAAGCCTCAAAGAGATTGTATACACAATTTTCGGAACGAATTCATAAACCAGCGCCGTATTGTGCTAACTTGACACAGGAAAATTTACTAAGAATATTGGAGTGCTGCAAAATGTGGCTTGGAATAAATCTTCCATTCCATCATTTAAGAATCTGTTCATCCGAAGATAGCCTTCATGTCTGATGCAAACAAAGTCAGAGGTGAATCGATCCATTCTCATCAGCATGACAAAAATTATTCAGAGGCGATGGCCGCCATACCAGCAGAGTGGCCTGAAACCCTGTGCTTGTGACCCGTCACTCTGGATGGATCATCCCTGTAGGAGGGATCGGAAGGCTGCAAGCTCATCAGTATAGAAACCATCCCTTGTCATGACCAGACCGTATGCATTCCAGCGAAATAAGTGTTGTCAGATCCCTGCTTGGCAGGAAGAGCAGCATTCCACAAAATCGAGAGCATCTCTGCACCAGGATCTTTAGTCGATGAAAGTCATCCAATGAAGTTTCAGCAACGTCCAAACCCATCAAGCACAAACCATTGAGAGAACTTGTTATCTCTACATATTCATTCTACGAATAGATAAAGCACGTAAAATGCGAAAAACAAATCATCTTTCTAGCTTATCGCAATTCGAGAGCAAAAAATGTGCTTATCGAGCTCATTTCTTCCGCATGACATCGGCAGGAGATTCTTTTCTCTGACTCAATTTACCCATAACCTGCATGCAGTTTCTCTGTTACACTCATTCCAACTGCACTTCTCCTTGCATTCGGCCCTGTGCTTTCTTCCTGCACATCGATCACCACTCTCATATCTGTCCTGCTCTTTCCTGCCCCTCCTGTACTTCATACCTGATTCTCATCATGGTAACTACCACTACTGCACCTGCTGCCATTCTCCTCTCCTCACAGCAGCTCTCGCTGTCAAGCCTCCAACCCTCCCCCGCGCCATGTTTTTGTCCCTTCGATTTGTCTGTTCGCCACAAGCAAACGCGTGATGATGGCAGACCAGAAAACTCAGTGTCACACTCACTGAGTCACGCGGCCGGGCCCGGCTTCGGCGCCGAGTCCACCGGGTCTGGGCCACCGAGCCCGGCCCGCCGTCACGGTAGCGGCCGGGTGGTATCAGTCACCTGGCTTTTACTCAAACCGGCTAGCAGTGCAAATGGCAAGTTGGCAACGGTCCGACGACGGGACCGTGAGTACTGAATAGCGGTGATCAGCCTTCTCACGCACCGATGTCACGATTTGGATGACTAGGATGACAGCCGTCTGATCCGCCTGAATGTGCCTGAGACGGCGAGCCAATTGAGCTGCTGATCACCCCGCCGACTGTAAGCCTGCATTCAGCTGTCACGCTTCTATGTACGGTCAAATCAGCCCCGGCGGCAGGTACAAATTTCAAACGATAGAATGATATTTGGACATTGGATGATAATTTTCGGACCTCCGAGACCGGAATCTTGTCGACGCAAGGCCGAGTCGCAACCAGACCAAACAAGTACTTGAAACTAAGGTCGTTACGTTGATTCAGCCGAACAGTTAGGATAGGGTTTTGTATCTCGAGATTTGAAGGATTTGATTGCTCCTGCTGACATAGAGTTGGCGAGACGATGTATTTGTTGAGCACTCAGATCTCATCGTCTTGTAAAGAAGAATCAAAGACAAGTCGTTTGGAGCAAAATCATTCGTGGTTGCCCTGTGACGAAATGGAGTAAACGGGGATAGAGTTGTGAGCCGCTCGTGAGAAGTTCAGCAATTATAGGAAATGTCTGAACTTTTCACAGACTTCCGCGGAACTTGTAAAATTGAGTTATGTCACGTCCGGACGTGAGCCTGTCATCTCTGTCCTTCTTGACGTCATCATCTTCGAAAAAGCTTATTTTCATATTGTCTGGATAACCTTAACCCCTACCCCCTTCTTCTCCGCCTTGCAAAAGGTCTGATAGATGTTCCACAAGGATAGGTATTTGCTATATGTGACCTCAAGTAATTTCATTATACCTCTTCCCCTGCCCTCTCCGGTGAGCACCGGTGGGACCCCTTTACGATCATAACCATGCTTACATTCCCTGACAAAAATTTCCCTTTATCTTCCCTCCTGGCCATCAATTCCGCAGTCCCCCGCCCACCATCGAATCGACCCTGTCCTCTACTCATTGCTCTCAGTTTCCACTCTCTTCCTCCTCCCTCGTTCTCTGATCAATACATTCTTCCCACCCATCCTCTTCCTCCACTGAACCCACATCTTGCTTTACCTTCGTTCGTTCGATCTTCGGAACTCCCCGCGCTCGTACAATACTAGTCACATATGATGGCAACTGTTTCTTCATGCCCCGTCATTCAACAAAGCTTCGAACACGTCTTCAAGCTGCCCCAAAACATGGACCATCATGTATCTTTCCCAATCACCAAGAACGAGCTTTCTAAATGCATGTGCACCATCTTCATGCTGGACGACGGCGTCAAAGTCAATCATTCGCACAGCTCCGTCAAGTTTCAAGAAACTGCCAGCAGCAGGAAGAGAGACAGAGAGGATGCTCAGGCAAAGGCAGAAGAGTCCGAGGAGTCGCCATCGTCGGCATTTCGGAGCGCCTACTACGAGGCAAGGCGACAGAAGATCCGGAGGAGGATGCTGGCGGTTGCCGGGCACGTCTGCAACTGCAAGTCATCTGCTCACCATCGCACGAAACACGAGAAGTGCGACTGCGATGCTCCTCTGTGCATTTGCAAGGACCTGTCCCACGAGTTCACCAGCCTCGATTGATGCCCTGGTGTGTAAATAGATCTTGTTGCTTTTATGAATTGAGAACATCTCGTTGAAATGAATACATATGTACATCAAACCCAACTGACTTCATGCACCCTCTCCCTCTGTTTCCTCAGCATTCTTGCTGCACCTTCTTGTCTCTGACTGATCTTCTTCATCCCTTCCAAGTTCGAGGAGGCAACACTGACTTCTTCCCCTCTCCCTTCCTCCGCCACCCCTATGAACACTCCCTTACAGACCAATCAATCCTTACGAGTACTGTGGTGCCATGCTCAGATTGTTCATCATGTTCCTCATCTGCTCGCGGATCGCCTGCCTCGCTTGTGTCAACGTGCGCACGTGCGACAGAAACGTGTCACCTTGAGTCTGTCGAGCTCCTCCTGCGGCAGATCGGGCTCAGCTTCTACCGTCACGGCGCTCTTTCCTCTTCCTCCTCCATCTCCTTCCTTGCTTCCCCTACAAGCAGGCAGCATGAGAAGAGTGGATGACTTCACCTCCTCTTTCACCGGGGCTGAGCACGAGCATGCGCTAAGGCAGCAGGAGCTGCCACAACCGACGAGTTGCTCTTGAACTTTGGAGCTCCTGCTCCTGTTCCTGCTCTTGTTCCTGCTCTTGTTCCTGATCCTGCTCCTGCTCCTGTTCCTGTTCCTGCTGCTCCTCCTCCTCTCCGCGCCTCTCCACTGCTCCTCTTCGCCGGGACTCTGCCAGCGTTGCTGCCTGGTGATTTCTTGGATTCTACAAGCTTGTCAATGTCACATCCTCGATCGCATCCTCACGTACCCTCAACGATATGCTCCTCCATCCCCTGAGACAGCTTCCGAAGAGCTTCCCGGGCATTCGCAGCAAGAGCAGAGACCTGAGGCACAGGATAAGCGAAGCGAACTCTCCATCCCGCTCCTCACCTGCGACTCGATGGGGCTGGGGGCAGCCTCCGGTTGTTTCCCCTCGCTCTCCCTCCTCCTCGTCAGCTTCGGGTCTCCGTACCCCAGCCCAGTCTGCTCGAAGACGCTCGAGTCGTCCAGCTTGACTTCCCAAGAGTTCTTCCTGGAGGTCCGAGGAGAGGATCGCTCCGAGCTCCTGGTGCCCCCGAGACCGAAGTTGGACCTCACATGTTCCGCGTACGCCCGACGCCGTGCCGCCCCTCCAGCGGGAAGCATCGGCCCGCTGCCGTTGCCTCCTATCTTGCCGCGAAACTGCAGCTCGACCTCCTCTCCTCCGCTCCCGAGATTGCTTTTCAGCTTCTCGAAGTCAATGATCTTGTCTGTTGCCGCCTGTTCGTTGCGTGAGGAGCAAAGACGATGAGAAGAGGCAAGAGGGAGAGCAACGAAGGGTCATAGGAGGCGGGGGGGGAGGGAAGGGGAGGGGAAGGGGGAGGGAAGGGGAGGGGAGGGAAGGGGAGGGGGGAGCGGCATGGTAGTACCCTAACTCCGTACCCTGCGAGACCACAAAGGGGAGGGGGAGGAGGAGACTCGAATTCACCTTGATCTCATAGAGATATTCATCGGTCGTGATGGAGGGGACCGACGGACCTCGCGCGGGGCGCGGGGCTTCGCCGTCACCAAACGGTCCACTTGCGTCCCACTCAGCCGCTGCTTTCCTCGCCCTTCTCGGCCTGAACAAGTGCTTGATCCTCTTGTCCCTCCTGGAGGAAGAGGAGGAGGAGGTGCCGCTACCTCCTCCATCGGTCACGAAGAACACCTCGACCTCTCCTCCTGGTCTGTTGATGCGAACTCCAAGGTGATCGTTGAGCTTGCACTGGAGGAGAAATTTCTCCCGTCCCTCCCCTCCCCCCCCATCGCCCTTCATCTGACCATCGCTGCTCCATTCGCAGACTAGCTGCCCCGTTACCAAGTCCATCAGGCGCCCCCCGTTGTCGTTGGAGTGATTGTAGACCACGAAACCTGACGGGAGACAAACCTGGTGACATCCCTTCAGTCTGAGCCAGCGACACCATGTATCAAGGAGGAGGGGAGGGAGGAGAGAACAAGTAGGGCAGCAGGATCAGTTCGCAACATGTTACTAGACGACAGGACTGGAGGCGCCGCTGATTCCCTCGTGCTCCCTCCTCCCCTCGCTTACTCCCCCCCTTCCCCCTACCGCACACCCCAGCTCCCTTTACAGACCTCGGACAAGATAATCCCCTCCCACAACTCACCATTGCGTTGCCCTCGGCATCACAAGTCACAGCAACATCTCCGTTCCTGAACATGGCGGTGATTCGAAGATCATCCATACTGATGGCCACTGATCCGTTGGCGTATCGAGCTTCCGACAAGCCTTCTTGCCGCAGGATCAGAGCCGCCGGCCCCTTCTTTCCATACACCTCCACATGCTCTCTCCCCTCCTCTATCCCTCCCCTCCTCCTCCTCGGCTCCTCCGGCATCCCTGCCAGCTCCCGCAAGCTTGTCTCCGTGGGTTTCTTCCGAGACTGATGGCCGTCAGAGCCCTTCCCTCCGCCAGGTTTTGCCTCTCGTGGCTTCGTCTTCCTCTGCTTCGTTGGTGCCTCTGCCCCCATGGGCAGGTATCCCCACGCTCCTCTTTCGCCCCCCCTTCCTGAACGTGCGGTCGGGCATTCCTAGTCCCTTCCAGCCCTGCATCTTTCAGCACTTTCCTACCCTGGGCACAACGGATAAGTGAGAGGAGGAGGAGGAGGAGGAGGAGGAGGAGGAGGAGGGGGGGAGGGGGGAGGGAGGTCAAAACAAATGCAGCATACCTCATGGCTCAACCAGAAAGCAGCAGCAGCATCTCTCTCCTCGCTAGTGATCGCCCTTCCGTCAAGAATCTCCAACGAGGGGACGTTGTGCACAAGGAGCTTGAAATAAATTTCCGGCAGGTCCCTTCAGTAGAGCATCGTAAGGGGTCCCAACCGAATCTCTTCTCTATTCGCATGCTCTTCACCTGCAGACTGGGTTTGGCTTCAGCACCAGCTTCTTGAGGTTCGAACACGCCCCGAGGTTCTACGGCGCGTCAATGGTCGATCCATAGGCGGAGGCTGCACAACAAACCTGGATCGATTGGAGATCTCTGAAGTCGTTGTCTCGGAGCCAGAGCTCTTCGAGGTTCATAAGGTCACATATGCTCCCCAGGTTCGTCAGCTTGTTCTTGCTGAGGTTCAAGACCTCCAGGTCCTGCAGCTGCCCTATCCTCTCTACATCCAGGATTTGATTGTGCGACAGGTTCAACCTGTCAGGCATTCAGAGCTCCCACATGGCCTGCCGCTCCTTCCCACCTCATCAGGCATGATAGCTTCTGCAGCGGTGTCACGCGGTCAAGATGGTTGAAGGCGAGGTTGAGATTCTCGAGCTCTGGAGTTTCTTGGACGAGAATGGAAACGTCGTCGAGATCGTGGTTCGCCAGGTTGAGGACTGCAGTCTCTACGAGTGGTCCCGTGTCCCCAGCAAGGTCTGCAGCCTGCACAACCATTCTTTCAGAGGGAGGGACACTGATGGATCACAGCGGAGGAGAAAGAACCGAACAAGCAAACACACCTGACGGAGCGTATCATAGTCCAGCTTCATTGAAGTTTCGCTGCTGGGGACGTGACTACTCCTTCCTTGTCATGTGCAGGAGCTCTCAGAGTTGCTCTTAGCTTCTCCACATCCCCTTCAGCCCCTCCATCTCTCTTGCTGCTTCCTGCCTCCGCCCTCCTCTCCCTGGGCCATGTCCGTTGTCCGAGAGCCTTCAATTGCTCTTCCTGGATATTTCAAATTTACACCAAGTCTTTCGGATCGCTTGAATTTTGATTAAAATGTCATGATGATCAGCAATTAGCATTTACCGTGAGGCCCGGGCCCGGCCCGGCAGGCTGAGGCTCCGAGGCTGAGTAGCAGCCGCTGAGCCTGAGCCGCTGAGTACTGAGCGCGGCAGGCCCTGCAGGCTGGGCCGAGGGGCGGGGGGGGGGGGGGGGGGCGGGCCGACCGCGGCGGCGGCCGCCGGGATCAGCGGCTGAGGTCGGGCCACCGCCGCACGGGAGTGGACTCGGGAGTCAGCCCACCGTGATCCTTGTACGGTACTATGGTAAGTGACGAGTTGTCGGCCGCCCGGACACCGGCCAACATGCCGCAACGTAACCGTGGCAAAGCGGCCGGCACGTCGTCCCAGACCGTATCAGTGCAACTCCGACGCTGTGCCGGCAGTATAGTACCGTACCGTCAGTCATGATATTCACACTGACAAATTGAGCTCGCATGGCTGCACGTAACTCGCAGAATTAATATAGCATCATTTCTGACTGTCTAGCGCCATCTGCGAGTCCTCGTCTGAGCTCGACAGCCCGTTCCTCATGTAGTCCGAGATGGCGCTCGGGCTCATCTGCTGGATCCAGTCCGGGCTCCCTGACGACGAAGACCCTGTCGAGCCCTTCGCCCCTGCATGGCCGGGCTTGCGGTGAGAGGGCTTCTGCGAGCCGTCCGATGATGACGCTCCTGCTGGATTGCAGCTCGTGCTGTACTCGTCCGAGGACGGATCCAGGTCCTGGGCTTGACTGCTCGAGCCGTCCTGGCTGCTCGACTCACCCTGGCTGCTCGACTCACCTGGGCTGCTCGACCCGTCCTGCCCCGATCTGTCTCCGGATCGCTGCTCCTGACTGCTGCCGTCGTCGCTGCATCCCTCTGTCTCCATGTCCTCCCCAGCCACGGGCGAGGAGTCGTCGGCGCCCTGCATCTGCTCATGCACCATGCTCTCGTGCTTGGTCGCTGGGGTAGCAGAGGCGGCGTACGCATTGGAGGAGCTATCGAGAGGCATGAAGCCGAGCTCCTCCTGCTTGATGGCGATCCAGCGGTGAGCCGCGAGGCTTTCAGGGTAGGAAGCAGACGGCAGGTGCGGCATCGCTTGGCCGTTGGCGAAGCTCAAGCCAGGGCCACTGATACCTTGACAGCCTGCCTGCACGAGAGCTCCTGGATGTGTTTCCTCATCCCTATGCACTCCCAAGAGAGCCATGGCAAACGTCTCGTTACTGTACTGCCCGCCATAGCTCTCCCTGTCCCAGCTGCCTCGCTCGACCCTCGAAGGCGGATGACGGTCTTCAGTCTTGTGGTGAAGCAGGACACTCTGGTAGCATTGCTGGTGGCTCCCACTAGCCTCGGCCGATGTCTCGCTGCCTCGCGCGATGCTGTCCGTGACATGCGACCAGGTCCTCTGATCCCAGATGTCTCGCACGGTCTTGGCGCTGATGCCGTACTTCCTGGCGACGAAAGAGCTCTCGAGGGACTTTGGGCCGGTGATCTTGGCTCTTTCAGCGAAGATTCGACGGACCATATCGGGGGTGAGGGTTTTTCTGCGAGCAGGGGAGGGGTCAAGAGGGAAGGGGGCGTGATCAGTCATGGGTTACGACGAGGATCACAACGAATGATACAGGTTTTGGGAAATAATAATGTGGCTTTTCTGTACTTGGGGAATTGGCGCCACTTGCAAAGGTAACGTTATAGGTTTTGTTGAGATCTGTGACGATTGTGAATGTTATTGAGGCATATGAAGACGATAGTAGCTCTTACCTGTGTAAGATGTAATCTTTTTCCTGTTTTCTTATTTGTTCAACACTAGCATTTGATTGATTTTTTGGGTTTGATGCGTGAACGCGAAGTGTCAACTCAGTATGTACAAGGTTATTGTCGAAGAATTCTGTTCTTGGCAATGCTATGCATGAATTCGCTGTTCCTGTATGCGCCCAACTCGCTTCAATGCACCATGCGCGATTACTACGATTTATAAAAAGAAAACTGTGCCCGTCGAAGCGCTGCGAAACTGATGAGCGGGATTCTTCGAAAAATCTGTGGTTCAGTTCAAAATATCAAGGGAGAGTTCAAAACAATTTCAGATGATTTGTCTTTCGGGCATAGTTTTAGTATTTTTAGAAGCAGAATTATTGATAATAATTGTAACTCATTCTTAAAACTAGAAAAGATTAGTTTTAGAAGGGCATAGTTATTTTTATCATCACCCGGGTCCGAGACCCGGCGTACTCGAACTACCAGTCGGAGCCTCAGTGTACGCCGTAACCCGTACCGTACCGGCCCGGGCCGTCACTGGACTCGGACTGGCTCGGCCGGCCCGGCCGCGGCTTCAGCCACCCGGCGGAGTCCGGCTGCCGCGGCCGCGGTCGGCCGACCGCCGCTCCTCGGAGGCTCCGGGTCACCGGCAGTGAACCGCTGGGCCCGGAGCGGCCGCTGAGCCGCGCCACGGGCCCCACCGGGGCCCGGGGTCCGGGGCCTGCGGCTGTCACCCGTCGAAAACAACTTTTTTCATTGGGAATAGTTATTGCACACTCTGCTCTCCTTTCCAACACTTCAAAAATAAATAAACTTTCTTGTACTAATAAAGGGTAACAGTTATTGCACTGGTACAGAAGGGGATATTTTATTTTTCCGATCCGTCTAGTTGAGCAGGGGGAAAAACTCCTACTTATTTCGCCCATGAATGCTCTACAGACAGTAGTACCTGTGCGATGCCGGCAGTTACATCCTGAAGAAGCACAGTGAAACCAACTTGTGTGATAGATCGAACACCGTCAAAGATTGAAGCTACACCGTTACCCTGTGAGAAGGCAAGACCTAGCAAACAAATGGCTGTCAACAGATCCTTCCGTGATGTCCTTTCATGCGACTCTGAATCAATCTCAAATCTACCTCCCCCCTCTTCACATCCCATGTCTGATCACGCCCCCTTCCCTCTTGACCCCTCCCCTGCTCGCAGAAAAACCCTCACCCCCGATATGGTCCGTCGAATCTTCGCTGAAAGAGCCAAGATCACCGGCCCAAAGTCCCTCGAGAGCTCTTTCGTCGCCAGGAAGTACGGCATCAGCGCCAAGACCGTGCGAGACATCTGGGATCAGAGGACCTGGTCGCATGTCACGGACAGCATCGCGCGAGGCAGCGAGACATCGGCCGAGGCTAGTGGGAGCCACCAGCAATGCTACCAGAGTGTCCTGCTTCACCACAAGACTGAAGACCGTCATCCGCCTTCGAGGGTCGAGCGAGGCAGCTGGGACAGGGAGAGCTATGGCGGGCAGTACATGGATGAGATGATCGTGAAAGACCTCAATCGGACGGGGGGTGCTCCAATGCTCTGCGATGAGCTTCCCTCGAGCTCGGGGGACAGTCTTGAATTTTCGTCCATGGACCCGCAAACATATCAAGAGGCGCAGGCGGGGACCCAGCAGCCCTCCAACGGCCAAGCAATGCCGCACCTGCCGTCTGCTTCCTATCCTGACAGCCTCGCGGCTCACCGCTGGATCGCCATCAAGCAGGAGGAGCTCGGCTTCATGCCTCTCGACAGCTCCTCCAATGCGTACGCCGCCTCTGCTACCCCAGCGACCAAGCACGAGAGCATGGTGCATGAGCAGATGCAGGGCGCCGACGACTCCTCGCCCGTGGCTGGGGAGGACATGGAGACAGAGGGATGCAGCGACGACGGCAGCAGTCAGGAGCAGCGATCCGGAGACAGATCGGGGCAGGACGGGTCGAGCAGCGCAGGTGAGTCGAGCAGCCAGGGTGAGTCGAGCAGCCAGGACGGCTCGAGCAGTCAAGCCCAGGACCTGGATCCGTCCTCGGACGAGTACAGCACGAGCTGCAATCCAGCAGGAGCGTCATCATCGGACGGCTCGCAGAAGCCCTCTCACCGCAAGCCCGGCCATGCAGGGGCGAAGGGCTCGACAGGGTCTTCGTCGTCAGGGAGCCCGGACTGGATCCAGCAGATGAGCCCGAGCGCCATCTCGGACTACATGAGGAACGGGCTGTCGAGCTCAGACGAGGACTCGCAGATGGCGCTAGACAGCAACAAGAAATGAGCAGAAGCCGTAAAAGTATGCTTTTTCTTTTTTAAAAAAACGATTTTCCTCTTACTGATTTTTAAGTTAACTTTGAGTAAAAAAGCAGAAGTCGACCGACAAATAAACGATGGGGAAGGAGGACGGGAAAGTCAGGAAACGTGGGAGGAAATAAGAGGAAGGAGAGTTGGCACGCGAAGAGTCACAAGGAAGCGAAGGGGAGGGAGGGAGGGAGGGAGGAAGGCAGGCAGGCAGGCAGGCAGGCAGGCAGGCAGGCAGGCAGGCAGGCAGGGGAAGAGGACAGGAGAGGAGACAGGTAGGAGGTGCAAGGCAGCGGCGAACGGATTGGAGGGATTGAACAAAGGGGGAGACGAAGGAGAAGTGAAACAGAGGTTCACAGGAAGGATAGAACAACTAATGGATGCTTGCAGGTTCGCTCTCAGGCGAAGCATTCTCATGCCTGTCAATCAGAGGAGGAAGGGGAGAGTTCAAGGAGCATGGAGCGCCAACCAAGATGCTCCAAGATCTACGCACGAGCCAGCCCCACATCAGCATCTCACCGTCTCCCATGAAGGTCAGACTGTAGCAGGGGCGCGGAGACCAGTGCACTTTCAACCAGAAGCTCCCAAGAAGGAGGTGAGATCTGCTGCGCCCAAGCAAGAGCTCCTGTTTCCTACGGTCGAAAGTGACACCACGGATGAAGAGGAGGTGAAGTTTGAGCCTCTGGTCCCTCTAGATGCTCATCGCCATGGATACATCACTCCATCACAAGAGCAGATCCAGCTCTCTTGCGATGCTCAGTTGAACATGCAGCGGTTGCTGGAGCTGTCGAGTAGAGACATTCCGAGCGCGAGGGAAGACAAGAGACCCGTCATCGTGTGGTTTCGACAGGATCTCAGGCTTCATGACAACCCAGCGCTTCTCTTTGCTGCTCAGAGCGGCAGGAACGTCATCCCAGTCTTTGTGCACGTAGAACAAGACGACGAGAACTGGTTGCTCGGGGGAGCAGCCAAGTTTTGGCTCCATCAGTCTCTTACCAAGCTGTCTGAGAGCTTGGAAAGGAAGTACGGCAGCAAGCTCATCATCAGGGCTGGGAGCGACACGCTGGCTGGTCTGCTAGATGTGATGATGGAGACAGGGGCTTCTACCTTGTGCTTCAACCGAGTGTACGAGCCCTGGAAACTTGCGAGGGATGCCAAGATCGTGGAGACGCTGACGATGAATGGGCTCACATGCTCCTCCTACAAGGCGGTGGTCCTCTTCGAGCCGCTCGAGGTCGTTCCTGACAGCAAGGAAGGGCTCATGTATGGCTTCGGCTCCGTCGGCTTCTTCCTCAATGCCTGCGACGGCAAGGAGATCAGCGATCCCTTGCCTCCTCCCGAGCAACTGAGGCCCCCCAGAGCCTGGCCGGGCTCCCTGAGCATTGGCGACCTCAGGCTGTACGTGATGCCGTGCAGGAGGAACGGGCAGGTGGTGGACTGGGCGAAGGGGATGCGAGAGTTCTGGGAGTTTGGAGAGGAAGGAGCTCTGAAGGCGCTAGAGGAGTTCGTGCGGTTCGGCTGCCATCACTTTGAAGGCAGGCAGCGCTTCCGGGCGGATCGCAAGTACACAGCCGTCATCTCCCCCTATGTCCGGTTCGGGGAGCTGAGCCCGAGGCGGATTTTCCATGAGATCGTGGTGAGGCATCGGTACAAGGCCAAGACCTTCTTGCGGCGACTTGCCTGGAGGGATCTGGCGTACTGGTGCCTGTGGAAGTTCCCGACCATGGCGGACCACCCCCTCCGCCCCCAGTATGCCCATCAGACGTGGGACTACGATCAGAAGCAGCTGCGAGCCTGGCAGAGGGGCCGGACCGGCTTCCCGCTGGTAGACGCTGCGATGAGGCAGCTGTGGGTAACGGGCTGGATGCCCAACTACATGAGGCATGTCGTTGCCGGGTTCCTGATCGAACACATGAACATGCACTGGGTGGACGGGGAGAAGTGGTTTCATGACACCCTTGTGGACGCTGACGTGGCGATCAACGCCTACATGTGGCAGAACGGAGGTCACTCGGGCCTTGACCAGTGGAACTTCGTCATGCATCCTGTCTTTGCTGCCAAGAGCTGCGACCCTGAAGGCGACTATGTGCGCCGTTGGGTTCCCGAGCTCTCCAAACTCCCTCCTGAGTACATTCACTGCCCGTGGGAGGCGCCTGTTACTCTCCTTGCCTCCTCTGGCGTCGCCCTAGGGCGCAACTACCCGCACAGGATCATTGCGGACCTGGAAGGAGCGAGGACCCGTTCTCTGGCTGCGGTGAACGCGGTGAGGTGCGGGGTCGGGAAGGCGATGGTCCTCCCCGACGGGCATGAGAGGATGATCCTGCCTGATGGGAGGTGAGAATCTGCTTCCGGGGCTACTATGCTCGTGATCCTGCTCCTGCTCCTGCTGAGTCCTGTTCCTGCTTCTTCTGCTGGCCCAACCTTATCCTGCTCCTCACAAGCTACTCCTCCCCTTGCACTTGCCCATGGCCCTGTTTTTGCTTCAGCTGAATCGATCTTTCAGGCATGTTCGCCTGATCACGAGAATTGACTACCGGGAGACAGCAGCTTCTCCTATCACTCGTCAGACGCCCGACGAGAGCAGAGACCCGAGGAGGAGACCGAAGAAAGATCCCCTGAGGTGAGACGCTCCTTCTCCTCCTCTTTCCCTCCGCTTCGTTTCCTCCCGATCCTTCAGTCATGACGGTCTACTTGACCTTCTCGACGATCTTCGAACCGTGTCTGCTGCTGACTCGTTCACCCCAGCATCGCCATGGCAGACACTTTGCAAGCTTACGAGAGGATGTGTGTAAGATGACAAGCGAATTGTAGTAAACAAACAAACTGAAGGGCAAAAAAGAAGATTAAAAATAACAACACAACACAACACAACACAAGCAATCAGCGACAGAGGTCCCACAGAGGTCACTCTCCCATCACAAGAGCTAAACTAGCAGGAATACAAGAAACATGTCAGGCGTTCGGTTCGGCAGTAAGGTAGAGCATGCGCGGCATGGCCTGTGACAACATGAGCAACGGCTGTAACCTCCCGCCCTCGCCGCACCTGAAGCGACAGGATGACAGTGTGACTAACGCGGCAACCGCTACATGCCAAGTCACAAACAGGTGCGTGAGAGACAGTCAAACCTCAAGCACAAGGACGTCAGATCAGTGAAGATCGTGAGGTGTCGAGCTCCATCACTGCTGAAGTTTGTTCCTGAAGACATCAACATCAGACACGCAAGCTGTTCGTAGGATGCCAGCGTACCAGCGATGTTAAGAGACGTCAAGAGCGACATTCTTGACATTGGAATGAATGATCCGTTGGAGAGCGACTCGTTCTGACTGACATTCAGATTCCTCATTCTCGTCAGTCTCTGCAGCAGGACAAAGGTGTCACAATTTCATGAGAGCTGAGCTCCAGTCCAGCTTACCTTCAGCTCTCGCATCGCCTCATCTGTCAAACCCCCACCGCAAAGCTGTCGCAGACATCACAACCTTTCGTCGCAAACTCTCATTCGTGTTTGACCTCTAAAGACGTCAGGCTTGTCAAAAGCCCGATGTAAATGGTGCCATGATGCGTGACTTTAGCTCCGAAGAGATCAAGTTCCTAAGCATGTCGTCAGCATTTGAAGTATGCTTCTCCCGCTGATCACCTGGAGGTTTGTGAGTCCAGAAATGCAAGCTAGACCGCTGTCGGTGATGAGCCGAGAGTCGAGGTTTAGCCTCACGAGGTTAGTCAACCCCGTCACGTGTATCACTCCTGCATCGCTGACGCCAGTCGAGAACAAGTTCAAACTCTTGAGAGTCGTCAAGCCTGTCAGCAAGGCGAGTCCGGAAGAAGTCACGACGTTGTCGGACAGGTCGAGGTTCTCCAGGTTCGTCAGGTTCGCGATCGTCTGGAGGCCCCCGTTGGTCACGTGACAACAGTCGAGGTTCAGAGTCTTAAGATCCCAGAGGGAGCTGAGGTAGCCCAACCCTATGTCTGTCACTCTCGTATGTGCCAGGAGAAGAATCTTGAGGTCTGACAGGCCCCGCAAGGCCTCCAACGTCTGATCTCCGACGTGCTCGCACTGGCTGAGATCAAGCAGCTTCAGCTTCCCCAGGCTCGAGAGCTCCACCAGTGCAGAGGTTGCGCCAACTTTGCAGGAACACATGCGAAGACTCTCGAGCTGAGTCAAGGAGCAGAGGGCCTGCAGCCCATCCTCCGTGAACGGGCATGCGCACACGTTCAGCCTCTTGAGCCGGGGAAGGCTTCGCAAGCTCTCGAAGCTGTCGTCGTCGGCGTTCGTCCACCCGAGGTTGAGGATGCGAAGGTTCGTCAGCTTCTCCAAACTCTCGATGCCCTCAGAGTCCAGCCTGGTCAGCCGCTCGAGGTTCAAGTCCGTCATCCGCACTAGCTGCGAAAGGCAGCTCACACCGGACGAAGCCATCCTGGTGCAAGCAGAAACAGACAAGTGCGAGAGAGACGAAAGCTCTCCTATCACCTCCAACGTGGCATCTCCTAATCTGAGACAATTCTCCAACTTGATGGACCTCAGCGATTGTAGCGATCTCAACCTTGAGATGCCCTCGTCGGTGACGTGTATACAATTGCTCATATCCAACCTTGTAAGGGCATGAAAGCTCTGAAACTTCATCGTCAGCAGGCTGAACTTGCTGTTCAAGTCTGTCTACCTCTCCCAAGACTTCCAGCCAGTCGTCAGCAATTAGCGGATACGCGAACAAGGAAGCGTCGCAGATTCTTGAAAGGAGGGGGAGGTGGGACTACTTAAGAGTTTAGATCATGTATCTTGTGGAGACTAGAAATGACCTTCTCAAGTCGCCTGCTGTATGCCAGACTGTCGAACAGCGCCTGAACCTTGAGAGAAACCATCACAAAATCTTCAACCAAAGTCGATACAAGTCAGCCTGCTACGTACCATCTCATTCGGAATCCCGTCCAATGAGGTGTAACAGTGCATGTTCTCGGATATGCTTCTGATACACCATTCTGTTAAACTTGGAGGTCCGCTTGCTGCCCTGATCGTCCTCTGCAACAACCATGTCACACAGAACATCTCTTGACCTCCTGCTCTCTTGTACCAAGATCCTCGGACGGGAGTAGTGCGAGTTTTCTTCATCTTCACTGTCTGGGTCGGAGACCTGGCCATTGTTCTGGAGGCTCAACAAGTAAGCAAGGGCAAGCCTGGCATCAAGAGCTCCTACCCCTGTGCCTCGTTTCAAGATGCTGCTGCAGGATGAACCCATCTTGTTCAGACTCGCCTATCCTTTACCGCGCCACCCGGAGCGGATGAAATGGTCGCGCTTCAGCAGGGGATCTGAGCCGGGGGGTAACGAGAAGAAGAGCATGAGAACGAAGATGAGGAGGAAGATGAGTAGCAGTGGGAGGAGGAGGAAGCAGGCGGTAAGGGAGGGGAGGAGGAGGAGGAGGAGGAGGAGGTCAGGGCAGCCGCCATCGACCGTAGCCGCATTGGCTGTTGCAACCCAAGATCCACAAACAAAAAAAAGAAAAAAGAACAAGAAATAGCGAGAGAATCTGTAAAAGGCAGGACCGGCCCGCATGGTGGAAGATTGGAGGAGCGACGGGGGGCAGGGACGGAGCAACGAGCGGTTGGACGAGGAAGAGAAGTGAGAAGAGGAAGAGAGGTAGAGGTAGATCTTGCACTCAAGGAGGAGGAGGATCTCTGCGGTCGTTGCATGCAAGTCGGGGGACGGTGGGATAGTTCTTCAATGTCGGTGGGCCTTATCAGAGCATGGGCCGATGTGAAGTGAAGGGACGCGGCTTGTCATCTGAGTCTGCTGCTTACGACTCCTCCATCGTTCTGGCTGTTGCATGTAAGACAGACAGCGACATTGGTGCATGGGATGATGTCAGTGCATGACGCGCAAGATGGGGATCGATAGACTAAGACTCTCGCTAAGTTTGCTCGTTCTCCTTGCTCGTTTGCAGACTTGTTTGCCTGCGAGGGAAGAGACTTCGATTCTTCCTGGTATGTTTCCTGCGAGCAGAGGGAGCGATCTGACGTTGCTCATGGCAGCCTGTGCTCCTCCTGCGCTGGCGGCGGCAAAGACGTTGGTCGCTGGTCAGAGTTCAAATCGCGGCGCCCAAGGTGAGAACACCTCGTGTCATCATGAGCAAACTGACAGCTGCTTGTTCTGTCTGTTGTGCTCCCCTGCATGGCTCATGTCTTGTTCAGCACGCCAAGGAATCCTGCGCCCTTCTACCGGAGTACTCGAGGACGAGATCTTGCGCACCGGGTGAGTTTGATGGACCTCAGCTGACCTCTCGGTGATGCGGTTTAACCAGGTCTGTGATCTTTGGGTTCGGAGCGAACGATGCTGGTCAGCTTGCGGTCGGAGACATCAAGGGCAGATTCTTTCCTGCCATGGTCCAGGGAGGGGTCTCAGTCGCTACTGAGGATGATCCCAAGGTCGTGACCGGAGCTCCGATCGTCTCGATATCGTCAGGAGGGTTCCACACGCTCCTGCTAGATGCTGAGGGCTCCGTGTTTGCCGTCGGGGAGAACTTTCATGGGCAGTTGGGATGCGGCAGGAGGCACCTGGCAAGCGTGATCCCTCGACACTGCAGTGTGGACATCAACAACCGCTCCCTGCCTCCGATGCGATCGGTCTCAGCCAGCCTGAGGCATTCGCTGCTGCTCTCAAGGGATGGAAGGTTGGACTCTTTGCTCCCTCCTCCTTGTGCCTTCCTCCCTCCTCCTTGCACCTTCCTGCTTACTCTCCCTATCTTCCCCACTTTTCCCTCATGTGCCCTCTGCGATAGCTTGACGGTATGGCAAAGGGTGTTCGCTTGCGGTTGTGGGAAGAAAGGAAAGCTCGGGTTTGACGCACAGTCGGATGTCAGCATGCCGCGAGAGATGAAGACCTTCAAGCTGGCTCTGAGGAGGACGAGGAGGCCGATGGGGGTCACCAAGGATGGGTATCTGATCGACGAAGAAGAGTTTTCGAGTGACGTTCAGGAGTATCACTCTCAGTACTGGAAGAAAGACACAAAACTCAAGTTATGGCATAATGCGAGTGGCCTGTTCGACATGACTAGCAAGAAGAGGAGGAAATTCTTCGGAGTGGAGGATGAGCCAGAGAGGACGTTGAAGAAAGTGCGGAGGAAGCTCGATAGGGGGAAACCTTGGAAAGCGAGCATTTGGGAAGTTTACAACGTCATGCTGCTGCTGCAGGAGAAGCAGGCGAAAAAGGCGATCGAGGAGGACTGGAGAAGAAAAGTTGAGGACGACCTGAAGCCTGTTGAGGGGGAACAGCTGCAGAACCTGACTGCGGCTTTCAACAACAGTGTGAACTTGTTGAACGCTGTGCTGAGCAACGCGACCATGGAAGGTGTGATGTGTTCAAGGTCTGATGCCCCTGGATTCCCTGACCGACTTTGTGTCTCAGACGGCTGCGCGGAGTTAGAGAGGCAGAGAGCCCTGAACTCCCTAACTGAAGAGGAGATGGAGATTTGCTCGAGGATGAACATCTCAGCGGTGTTGAACAAGTACAAGGGTACATCCAAGCACAATGCTCTCTCCCCTGCCCTCTGACGCGCTCTTCAGGAGCACAACCTGGACCCAACATGTCTAGGGATCTGCTTATGGACCTCTGGCAGGAATACTACGAGCAGCTGCCGATCAAGTTGAACGTGACGTGTACTTTCTGTCGCTGCAGGAAAGTGTTGTGCACAGGGAGATGGTGTTTGTTGCGTTGACTCTGTCTGCAGAAATCCTTTCTCTGTCTACCATGAGGACATCTTGACCAACAACATCTTCACCTGCGGTTACTGCGGGATGCAGGGGAAAGTGTTTGATAGCGCCAGCCTCTTCCTGCCGCCCAAGGTTGCCATACCTCGTGACATTTCCCTTGTCGATTCACTTCGTTTTCTCTGCAGCACTCTCTCCCTGAAAACCATGGCAGCGGCACGCATTCAGAACAGAGCCGGGCTCTGGTGATTGTTCTGTGTACTGACACCCCGACTTGCTCTGATGACGTGGCACTGAAGATTCACCACGACTTTGTTGCCCCCCCCCATAGTTCAGACGACAATTCCGACGAGGAAAGTTCCATTTGTGATAGGATAGCTCTCGCTCCACTCGATTTTGGGATAGTCTCCGAATACAGCGAGGTGAGGAGGAGGAGGAGGAGAGCAAGGAGCAGGAGCAGGAGCAGGAGCAGGAGGAGGAGGACAAAGTGCAAGAGGACAAGGACGAGGAGGACGAGGAGACTATCTAGCATCTTTGATTGTTTGTCAAGGAATCTTTGGTGGAAGAATGCGTGAAGGAGGAGGATATTGAGCGATTGAAGGAAGGCAAACAGAAAGAGATTGTGATGGGACAAGGAACAAGGTCAGTCCTTCCATCAAACCCTCCTCCTCCTCCACCTTCTCATCCTCCTCTCCCTGCTCCTCCATTCCTATCTCTGCCTCCTCCCTTCCATCTCCATCGCTCGTCATCCTAAGTGACGACGTTCTGCAGGGTGGAGAGGGATGAGGACGGAGATGAAGAGACCTTTACCCTCAACCCTCCTCCCAAGATCGTCGCAATCTCTGCAGGACACTCTCACTCCCTCCTCCTCGACTCCTCCGGCCGAGTCTTCTCCTGCGGCGACGGATCCTACGGCAAGCTGGGGGTGAGATAGCACCAGCCTCCTTTCATCTCTCCCGCTTCCCTCTTACCTGCCTTCTTCCTCACCTACCTTTGCTGTCCTCTCCTTTCACCCTTCTTTCCTCCCTCCCTCCCTCCCTCCCTCCCTCCCTCCCTCCCTCCCTCCCTCCCTCCCTCCCTCCCTCCCTCCCTCCCTCCCTCCCTCCATCCATCCATCCATCCATCCATCCATCCATCCATCCATCCATCCATCTTGAGCTTCATCGTTCGCTCTCGTTCTATCTCATCTTTCCAACTCACTCGCGCTTGTGCTCATCACGCGCGCAGCATGGCGACGACTCTGACCGTCACTTCCCAACTCAAATCCGAGGGATCCCAAGAATCGCCGCAATATCTGCTGGAGGGCAGCACTCGCTGCTGCTGAGCAGGTAGGCTCATTCCTGTGTCAACGAGGAGAAGAAGGAGGAGGAGAGCGAGGAGCAGAAAGGAGATGAGGAGACAGAGGGGGCGGGAAAGATGAAGTTTGTTTGAGTGCCGAGGTTTTAAGATATTCGTCGTGAGAGGAGGAGGAGGAGGAGGAGGACGGGGAATGGGGGGACAGCATCGAGAGGGAGGAGGATTGGTCAAGAAGTAGTCGACTGCAGGAGTTGGTGGAGATAGTGGAGGAGGAGGAGGAAGAGTAAAAGGGATGTTGAAGTATGTTCCTTGCAGGAAGGGGACTGTGTTTGGTTTCGGGCAGGGGACGATGGGGCAACTCGGTCTTGATGACGGGAGAGATTATTTCTTTCCGACGTGCGTCATGACGCAACCGCCGGTGATCGCGATCTCAGGTACGAGGTCTGAATGGGAAAGAGGAGGAGAAGAAGAGGAGGGAGGAGGGAGAGGGGGAGGGAGGAGGGAGAGGGGGAGGGAAGAGCGAGAAGGAGGAGGATGAGAGGAGATTCAGTCGCAGGAAGTGGTAGCAGTAGTAGGCAGTAGGTAGTAGGTAGGAGTAGCAGGAGGAGGGTAGTAGGAGGAGGGTAGTAGGAGGAAGAAGAGCGAAGACTGAGGAGGGTTGTTACGGGGTGAAAAGATTGACCTTGAGTTGTTTCACAGCTGGTGGATCGCACTCGCTGTGCTTGGATGAGACAGGAACTGTCTTCGGTGCGCTCAACTTTCCCTCTGATCCCTCCGTCCCCACCACCACCCCTCCGTCCGTCCATCCCTCCCTCCCTCGCCCTCCCTCGCCCTCCCTCCCTCTCCCTCCGTCCCCACCACCACCCCTCCGTCCATCTATCCCTCCCTCCCTCCCTCCCTCCCTCCCTCTCCTCCCTCCCTCCCTCCCTCCCTCCCTCCCTCCCTCCCTCCCTTTCCTCTCCCTCTTCCGTTCCCTTTGCTCCTTCTCTTCCTCCTTCCCTTCCTCCTTTTCTTCCCTTTTGCCCCCTCTGCTTCCTCTCTCTGGCCTTCCCTGCTTTCTACCTGTTTTCTCCCCTCGTTCGTTACCTCTTCCTTCTCATCTTTTTCATCCTCTCCGACCTCGCTCTCCCCTCATCGCTGATGTAATATTTGGCGGCAGCCTTTGGGCACGGGCAGTACGGCAAGCTCGGGCTGGGTGACGTCGAGAATCGATACTTCCCCGAGGTCAGCAGCACAGGAAGATCCGTGGAATACTCGGGGAAGGGAAGAAAGGAGAGGGAAGAAGGATGGGAGGGAGGGAGCGCAGAAGGAAGCGAGAGGAAAATGCGAGAGGGAGCGGGAGGAGGGAAACAAGGGGTGCAGGGTGAAGGAAACAGGGTAGGTAAGGAGAGGAACGACTGAGAGTCAATCCAGATGATCACAAGCACGTGCTGGACTGACATAGGAGGAGTCATCCACGAAGCGAGAGCCGTTCCTAGGTTCGCAGGTAACGGAGTGAAGAGGAGAGTGGGGAGGAAGAGGTGGGGGGGGGGTGAGATGGAGGCAGAGGGAGGAAGGAGGCGCAGGGAGGGGGGGAAGAGGGTGAGGTTTTGACGGTCTGGCGGCAGCTGTTTCTGCTGGACTTGAACACTCGCTGCTGCTCGACGTGTCGGGTCGAGTGTTTGCCTTTGGCTCCCAAGTCTCAGGCAAGTTTTGGGTTGTGAAGAGAGCAGAGTAGAGCAGAGCAGAGCAGAGCAGAGCAGAGCAGAGCAGAGCAGAGCAGAGCAGAGCAGAGCAGAGCAGAGCAGAGCAGAGCAGAGCAGAGCAGAGCAGAGCAGAGCAGGGGAGGGGAGACGGCATGAGGAGGCGGATGTCAAACAGGAGGAGAAGGAGCAGAGCGTTGGAGTGAACCAAGATGTAGAGCAGGGCAGAGTAGAGGAGGGCACCAGGACGTCAGAGATGGGGAAAGGAGAACCGATATGGAGCAGGAGGAAGAGGAAGAGAGGAAGGTAATCGAGCATACAGGCAAGCTGGGAATGGGAGACCTGGCACATCGCTTCCTCCCTGCACAGGTGTTTCATCCTCTATGTCGCCAAGACTTCTTCAACTTCTTCACTCCTCATTCCCCCCTCCTCCGTTCTGCTGATGCTGCTGATGCTGCTGCTGCTGCTCCTCCTCCTCCTCCTCCTCCTCTCATCGCAGTCGTCATCCTGCCTGTTGACTCGCCGACTTTGAAGGTCATGGGTCTACCGAAGGCTTGTACAATCTCGACTGGACACTTCCATAGCATGGTGAGCGGGGAGGGTCTGTATGGAGATTGACAGAGGAGGAGGATGTGGAAGATAACAATGGGACATGGAGGCTATGCGGGTGGGAGAGGGAAAGAGGAGGAGGAAGGGAGGAAGAGGATGGGATGCTAGTGGAGGAGGGAGCGAGGGAGCGAGGGAGCGAGGGAGGGAATCATGAAGCTGACGCAGAGCTCAGGTTCTTGTCCGAACTTTAGACGCGGAAGTTTATCACAGACAGGCAACTTCACTCGCCATCCTCCCCTTCCTCCTCCCTCCTCATCTCCTCCAACCCTCGACTTCATCCCTCCCGATCTCTCTTAGCTTAGGCTCCTTCTCTCACTCGTTTCCTCTCCTCCTACTGCTCGACCCTCTCCTCCTCCTACCGCTTCACTCTCTCCTCCTCTGCTCTCTTGCCGGCATCACCCACTGACAAGCACCGCTCCCATCCAGTTTGTGGAAGCCGCGATCCGGTTGAACACGGAGGAAGAGAGGAGGTACATGAGATGGGAGGAAGAGATGCGAAGGAGGATGCGCTGGGAGGAAGAAGCTCGTCGAAGGTCAGAGGCGGCAGGAGGGAGGCAGTCAACTAAGACCCATCCCAGGATGATGATGCAGGAGAGCCAGCCGACGAGAGCCCAGCAACAGCATGTGCTCCCTTCTCTCCTCCTTTCCTTATCCTCCACCTTCCTCTCCCTCCATCTCTCACCTGCCCTGCCCTGCCCTCTCCTTCCCCCTCCTCCCCTGCCGTCTACTTCACCACCCCGTCATCCTTTTAACATTCATGCAGCCCAGCCCCCGTGCTCAACCCCCGTATGCCTACCCTGGCATGCCCCAGGTAAAGTCCAGCTATCCCCGAGCTGTCTCTCACCCTATCCAGCCCACGGGCTCGCGAGTCACTCCGGCCATCCCTCCGCAAGGGCCCCGACCGGGAAGCTATCCGTTCAACCCCGACGCCAGACAGTTCCCCCCAGGTAGCTTCCAGCTGACGCCCGGCTACCCTGAGCAGGCAAGTTTGTGCCGCTACAGAGCTGTGAGTGAAGAGCTGGCAGGGTCAGAGATGAGGCGGCAGGAGAAGGGGGAGAGGACAGTTCGCTCCCGCACGCGTGTTTGCTGTAATGAAAAATTGTTCATGTCGTGCCCGCAACCATGCGCAAAGATGAAGTGCGGAGACTTCCGGCAGGGAACGAGTCGGAAGGGCTTCACTCGACGCTGTCCAGGGCCCGGAGCATAAGATCTCGCTTCTGCAGCAGGGGGTCAGGGGGAGGAAGCGAGAGGCAGAGCGCCGACCGGCTGCTCGAGCATGCTGGCGAGCTCGTGGGGGAGGCGGGGGACCTACAGCGAGGTCGGTCAGGGCAAGCACAGCATGCGCGCACTGGTGGACAGGGAGGGTCTTACCTCGCTCTGCCAGAAGACTGGAGCCGGGGCCCTGGCATCTGCTCCGTACTGCAGCAAGATCTTAACTATCTCGACGTCACCCCTGCTCAGGAGGGCGATCTCAGTTGAGGGCAGGGACAGGAGCCTCCTGTCAAGGGAACCTCTGTATCGCAACATGGAGGGGCCTCTCCCCAATATCTGCAGAGAGGGCAAGAGTCAACCAACAGCGGGGAGGCGCAGAAACGTGTCCCACCGTTCTCTGCCTCAAAATCCGCCCCTGCATCCAGCAGCTGCAATGTTGTCAAGAGGAGCTGGAGGGAGGGAGGAGGAGGATCATCGAGAGTTACCAGCCTGACGCAGGCGATGCTGCGGGTGTTGATGGCGCTGGATTGGAGGGAGGAAGAGAATGAGAAGGGGCGGCAAAGAGAGGAGGGCTGAGTACCTGTGGAGTGGTGTGATCTTGAGAAGGTGGCTCTTTACCTGTCATGACACGAGCAGGAGCGTTCAGTGATGTCCGATGAACATGTCACAAGGGTATCCGATGTACAGTGCCTCACCTCAAGGTCTGGACGAGATTCAAGGAGCAGACTTAGCATCTTGACGTCTCCTCTGCAAGGGTAACAGGGTCAGGGGTCAACCTCCCCAGCCATGCTTGCCATCACTTGTGTGCGGCTATGTGTAAAGGTCTACATCCGTTCGCATTCATGACCTCATTCTGATTTTGACCTCGTTCCAGCAATCTGCAGTGACACACTGGTTTACGGGAACACAAGATCAAGTACATGCGTTTACCTCTTCACGCCTTCTATATCTCCCTTGGAAACTTCCTCCAATAGATAATCGGATAGCTGTTTCGTGGGGTTAATGACTGATATGTCCATCTTCACTTATTGGCTCTAGGGTTTCCACGACGTCATATTAAGTCTGCCTGCATAGCATGTCAGAGAAACGTTTTACCTCTTTCTCTCTCTCTTCCATGCTCCTCCTCCCTTCCCTCCCTTCCCCTCTGCTCCTCCTCCCTCCCTCCCTCCCTCCCTCCTCCTTCACCTCCCTCCCTCCCTCCCTCCCTCCCTCCCTGCCTTGGCTCCAGTCTTGGAGGTCACGAAGCTTGCCAGATCATTGAACTCTCTTCCTCCTGTTGAAGCCGGTTAAATCT